TAGGAAATTGAAAAATCTCCTCTATATATTTTATTTATTATTATAAATATTATGCATTTAAATAGAGACTTATAATATTTTTTTTATATATACATCAAATTATTACTATTAATATTTAATTTTCTCAGAATCGACTTTGATCGTTAATAAGCAGAGTCATATCAAACGACTAGTTAAGACGAAACTTTTTAATTTACTAATTCTCACCCACTTAAGAATGTCGCATGTCGCATGTCACATGTTGCATGTCGCATGTAATGCAAATAATTTGCACAGTGTCTGTCATAATTGTGTGGACCGTTGCGTGCTGTCAGCTGGGGGCCATTAAGATGGCGAGACTTCTCTGCCTATGAAGACATACTAACAGTCGGTTGGTGTGATTATTGCATAGCCTTTAATTTGATAACTGAGAAACATGAAATGCCAGCGAGCGACTCATTAATCTGTCTATATAAAGAACGTTTTCCAACAAATCGCAGCGAATTGAAAACTCAATATCAAAATCTTTGCTCGTTTTATGCTTTTCGAAAAGTTGTAAATTGAGTTAGCACCAAAAAAGGCGAACACTGCTCTAAATTTTTAGCTTACTTCTAAAAATAAAACAAACAAATGGAAAAAATCAAGAAATCAAGAAATAGAGGGGAAAAAACTCAACTTTGTAATCGATTTGTGCGAAATTCGTTGCGAGTTTCCATTTCGATGCAAAAGTGATTTTGGCCTGATTCATGCTTGGAATATTTAATTTTCTGTTTTGAGTGTGTTTTTTTTTTTTTTAACTGCGATCATTAGGGACACAGCAGGTGGAAATGTAAAAGATCAATATATTGATATTGTTGTTGTTCCATAAATTTGGAATTCATAGCGCGAGAGATTAGCATATAAAACTCAGCCGCGGCCCATTTTATTAGTGCTACAGTAGGAGTTGTTAAAGCCTATTTATGTCGCTGCGTTATATAAGAGAAAACGAAAAAAAAAAAAAACGAAAGAAACTGAAAATTGATAAATTAGTTTGACTACAATAAATCGTCATTTAAATGAAATCATCGTAAAGTTATTTATATGTAAATCGGGTTCGAAGAGCATGCGGGATACTTGGGCGGATCCGCAAAACAGAATATGGATGAGTGAGATATTGATTTGATATGCTAAAAGAAATATGGCATGTAGAGGGTATTAACTTGAAAAAGAAGAASAAGTGGAAAAAGCCTAAAACCAAAAGGGCCACCTAAATAGAGCTAAAGAATTTCATTTCACTTTCATTAAAAAATTAAATTAAGTTGAAAAAGTATTTAGAATTTAGTATCGTAACAGAAGTAGAAAGAAATACATCAAAAGGTATTTTGAATACAGTATATTATTTTAGATATATACAAACAGATTCTACTAGTTAAATTAAATTATTAAATATTATTTCCAGTCTACTTTGGCTTAGAAACTTTATGTCTTTATTCAGACAAATTTGAGCTTCTTTATTAAAACTATTCTCCTTCGTTAGCTATGACTTTATTCCATCTTTCAGGTAGTATATGGATTACACCGTCTTTTAGTTATTCAAGAATTGACTTTCTTTGTATGAATTGAAGTGCGGTTCGGCCAGGCCTTGAGCGAATGACCTCAACAAATGGTAATCGGAAAGGGCAATGTCTGGTGTAATCAAACAACCCATTGAAGCGGCTCAAAAATTTATGCCAAAGTTTCCTCTTTGAGCATGTGACTTAGTGTTATGATGCGGAAAGATTACTTTGACTTATCTTTAAACATGCTGAAGTTTAAGTTGAAACCTCCTCTATTTCGTATTATACATACATATACTCGTATATCTAATCACTACAAATATTCGAAGCTTTTAATCCAAGTTTTAATTGGATAAATGCGAAATCTTCACAGCTTCAGTAATTTTTGCTTTATAGCTAAACTTTCAACTAAAATTATAAAATTGAGATCGACCGACTATTAAGGTTTAAACTGAGCATGAAAAACTAAGAAAAATTCATTTGCGGCTTTATTAAAAGCCTGGTTCCAGCTTATGTTTTTATTCTAGCTGGATTAGCTTAACTCTGAAACCGGTTTTAAGTAGCTCTTAAATTATGTGTGATTAAGGCAGCCTAATGTGCAAGATATTGTTCGCATTTGCATTAGGTTTATTCGAATATGAATATAGTAAACAGTCGCATATTTTAACATACATTTAACATTTAGGCCCGATGCACAAATTAATGAACGCGCTTTAGGCGCTGCTCAGTCATTTGCTCGTCTATTAATTTAATCGACACTTGATTTGTTTCGGGGGGAAATATTTACACAATCCCTGAGTGAAATATGTAATGTAATTCGGTTTCAAATTAGTTGCCAAACACGCGCTGTTGGGATTGTTGCTCAAACTCGGCTTTCCGCATAGACTGGAAATCTTTTGAAGGCGGGCGCCGCTCGCCTTATCGCCCTTAAATGTTGTCATAAATTTACGAGTTGTCAATTTGAGCTTGAACCTGAGCAGTGGCCTGGGTCGTCAGCTCATATTTTGTATTTTGTATTATAAATTGATAAATTATGGCAGCTGCCTTAATTTTCAATTATATACATATATTTTTGTAAAGCCAGGCTTGGGCATTTTGCTTGACATTCCTTTTTATTATTTCTATCGCATAGTATTTTATGAAGTTTTATGTGCTCGCTCGTTCAAGTTATGAAGAGAGTTTATTGGTTTTATGCAATGTTCCACTTGATGTCTGTGAGTCCGTCGGTATGAAAAGTTAAAGTCCTTGAGTTTGAAATATTTGTAAAGTCTTGATAGATTTTAAGTCGCTACTCATTTAGAATAGATTATGAAGACTAATAAAATATAAACTCAATAATATACAAGTATGGACTCAAAAATATGCAACGTGAACGAGCATTGCGCAGTTGAGTACACTCGCTTTGTACTTGGTGATATTTAGGCTTTGTTTTTTATGCGTTTTGTTGGAAAGTCGCTTAGCATATTTGTTTTTTTAATTGTTTGGACATAAACTATGCGAGGCCAATATCTTTTAATTGCCGCCAACGAGCTTCTAATTTATGATTGTGCATATACACATATAATATATTTGTATATACATATATATTTATTGTTATGCTCTAGGCTCGTAAAATTGAATAGAAAGTGGTATATAGAAATATTGAGATAGCTAACATAAATTTACATCCGTTTTATCCGTTTTATTTACAGGGTATTTTCCAGTCATTCATTCTGTTTTCGTTTAATTGTTTTGTGTCAGTTCTTTAATGTTTTTGTATTGTCCTCAATCGATGTGCACTTAAGCAAGTGGAAGCTTCACTCGGGCCCATTTTGTCATATTTCATCTCGCGCTTCCTTCATTGGCTTCAATTCTATTTTAAGGTCTTTTTAATTTGCATTCAGAATCAGCAAATACTGTTGATTGGGGCAGACATGGAGTGAGAGTGAGAGGGCTATAGATAGAGAGAGAGAGAGAGAGAGAGGGAGAGAGACTGTGGATGAATAAATCTGCACTTTTGCGATCTCGATCATTTCAATAACTAATAATTTATTGTTTGGCTGGTCATAAACTTTTAGTGCCCAATGTGTGTATGTGTGTGTATGTGAGTGGCAGGCACGTTTCGAAAGTCTAGATTATGACTATGGATAAAAAGAAATGGACTTCCCGTTGTTAACTGAATGGTGTAAATAATATACAATATATTTATCGTTTATTCTAACAAAGATATTCATTTAGAGTGCGATTAAAGCCATTCAAATTCCGCAGATGCCATTGCAAAGAAAGTTTTGACCCATATATAGATCAGAGATAGACTAAAAATGTTGTATTATAATTTAGTATAGTAACAAAAGAAAACATTACTTTATTTTCATGCGCGTTTAAACAGCTGGATAATTTGATAGAAATAGTCCCAAAGGTAGCTCAAAGAATAGCATTGTCTAGTCGAGAACCACACCCGAAAGTCTATCTGAAATTCTTTCGATTTGTTTAGCTAATCAAATACTATAAATTTTGTGTTATCTGTTAATGTAGGCCTTATAATTCAGAGCGTAAATATTGACGAACGAGAGAGCTAAGCAATCAATTTTCTACCCCTTCATCAAAATGGAAACCTTTCATGTTCATATTCATAATAATGTTTGACAGGTGAAACCCATAAAAGGTCCGGAAGGAAGGGTCAGGATTTGCAATGCACTCTGCACTCTGTTCTCTCTCTCTCTCTGTCCGAGTGATAAGGGCAAACTGAAATTGTTTGTCACTTCCGTGACTCACGTGCAGTCAAAGCAATCGAGTCGAGGGTCGCCTAGTGGACATTAGCATTACAATCGAAGTAAAGCCGTAAATTACCAGAGGCCAAAAACGTCGTCGTCGTCGTCGTCGTCGTCGTCATCGTCGTCGTCTTCGACGTCTGTTGGTGCTACCGTAATTAGCATATTTAGTCAACGTTCCAAAAGAAAAACTCGTAGCACAAATCGCAGACAATGAACAATGCAGGTAGTCGTAGCATATATTGTCAGAGGTACATGGTTTTTCGATTCTCTCTGGCCCTCTGCCCACACTGGAACCTAGCTGAACAACTGCGATTTCCCGCTGCATGCTGCGGCATAAACAGAACTGACTTTACAAGAGACCGATCCTGAGCATTCTATATTCAGTGTTTGTGTTTGTGTTTGAATAAAACCAACAGCAGCTGTCCCAAAAGTCAAGGCAATTGGCAACAGGACAACTGCGACTCTGCTCTTAGAGGTCCTTAAAATGGTGGCGTCGGCGAAACCGATCTTATTACACAGATCGTAAAGCAAACACAAGTGTCTGTTCATGGACGCAACTAAACAAGAGCTACTTATGAATTTAAAATATGTATGCAATATTTATGACAGATCTATATATCTATTGTGGGCCTATACAGCCCACATATTTAGTTATATTAGTATTCATATCACATTAAGCTGCATTAAATACAAATTCTATTTCTTAATTATATATCCAGTACTTCTTTGTAGATTTATAGCTGATGTACATAGAAATTTTATATACTTTTAAACATTTCCAGTCAGTTTCTTATGGATTCGTTATTGTATACTTTGTAACATTTGCCCAGCAACCAAATTCGAATCTCAAAATTTACCTAAGGTTGAGCATAATCTGATATATCCATAAAATGTCTAGTATAGTATCAGTATATGAGTTTTAATGGATACGCGTGGTTATACGATAAGATCGCGCTGCCTTTCCCGTCGTCGACATCGTCGTCGTCTTGTATATCACGTGCCCTTATGCGGCGCGACGTTAATGTCAATTTGTTGGGCTACCAAATTAAAACGCAGACTCAGCTAAGAATTGTCCTTGTTCTGAGCACGTCCCAGCGTCGTTCGACGTTCGTCGTTCGCCGTTCGATGTCCGACGTCGCGTCGTCTGTCAATCCAGGCAGCAATCAGCACACTGGGCGACGATCCCAGCCATTTGAGACGAGCCGAGCCGAGCCAAGTCGCACTGTAGTTGCAGCCAGTAAGTAGTTGGCTGTCGTTGTCGCATGATATATGAGTGCCCTGCCCTGCTGCTGCCGTTGCAACCGCGCCCAACCATCAAAACCCAACGCTAAGCCCCCAGGCCCAAGCCCAAGCCCAAGTTCTTGTTGTTGTTGCAGTTGCCGTTGCCGTTTGAGCTCGCTGCGCAGGCCGAAGCCGGTTCTCAAAACAAACATCTTCGTGGGTTGTGCATCGCGTCGGCGTCTTGTCTCCTTTGCTTTGCTCGTTTATTCGTGCGCTCGCTCGCTCTCTCGCTCACTCGCTCGCTCGCTCTTTGGCCGTTTTGTTGTTTTCACGCTCTTCGCCTATGGTGTCTACTGTTGTGACCGCCGCTCCGCAGCTCAGTTTGTTTTGACTCGCTGCGCGGCTAACTTCGGCATGCGCGTCGTGCTTAAAGAGCAAATGTAAAAGAAAAAGCAAAAACTCTTCGTGTCGTATCTTCCGGTTACTTACTTCACTTACTAAACCCAAGACCATATGAGGAAAATTTCTGTTTTTCATCTATACTGTGTGCGCATATGTTTTGAAACCAATTGATGATTGAAACTAATTGTGATTGTGAATCGTAAATTGTGAATTGTGCGATGAATTTATAATCTCATCATATGCTATCAAGCATCTCAATAAATACTTATATAAACCCAACACTTTGGCAATTTGCCCACTTACTTCGCTGCTGAAGCTGAATGGAAAAGCATATATAATCTATTTAAGCGCTACGTGACAATATATAAAGTGAGTTCGAACTGCTCTTAACTGATTACTCTTAATCAGTTATGCATGGGCTGTGTGGAAAAGTATATAAACGTAGCTGAATATCGGACCTAAGCTCAAATTGAACGCTTTCTCCTAGCCCGCATGATTTTCGTAATGCGAAACAGAGGACTTATATAAATAACTTAAATTAGTCACAAATATTATAAATAAATATAATAATATTGGTTGGTTTTAAATTTCACATAAAGTTGTATTTAAGGGTATTTGGTCTCCGGCTAATGTGTTGAGTCTTATGTCTAGTTATATATTGAATTATGTATGAATAATTGGCTTTATAACAAGACGAGTTTTACCAGATCAAACATTAGATGTTGACAATCCGTTATACGAGTAGATCCGCAATATATGCAAATATAGAAATTCCTGCATATTTCTCATTAAAGCAAATCTTTTGTTCTCTTTCATTGCAGCATGTTAATTCTAAAATATGACAAAATGCAGCATCAGCTATGGCTTCTACTTCTACTATTCTTAACCCTACAAAGCCCCCGGAGCACGCGGGCTCTACTGAATGGCTATCAGGCGCATCCGAACTTTGAGCTACTGGAAATTGATTCGCGTTACATATCATATCAAGGTAAGTTCTGGATTATCAAAAAACACCGTTACAAAACTGTGTCAATTGCCAGGCAATCAATCACTTGAAATATACGAAAATTGTTCTCATATCTCAGTCAGTTGTAAGTAGTTTGTTGCGCAAATGCTTGGATGTCCGAAGTCTTAATGGAGATGTCAATTCCAAAGAATCTTGACACCTATAAACTATATAGGTATATGTATATATATATACTCGTATTGTGTATATTATAAAAATATCTGCGGGTCTTTTAATCAGAAAACGCTCCGTGTTTATTGTTCAAATATTTGCGTTGCATTGTCTCAATCTGTGCTTTTTGCATGCCTGTGGAATGCATTTTCTGAAGTACGACTTCTCGATGTGCAAACTCAGCACCGAGGTTTTGTTGACTCTGATTTTCATTTTTATAGGCATTTATTTTCTTACTTATTCTGTTTGTTTCTTACAAGTCGAGGCTTTTAACTGTATTTTACCTTCCTTCGTTATGCAATGTTAAATAAAAAATATTATAGTAAACTTGATTTGGCGCATACCCTGTAAGCAGTAGAATGATCAATTTACGAATATGTATAAATATTATAAGTAACTTAGTTTATTCTTAAAGTTCTCAGAAAAATGAAAACTCTTTATATAAATATTTTCTGCCTCCCGCTTTTTGTCTAGACTGTCATAATTTGTTTTTCGATTTCGATTTCATATTAATAATCAAATTTCTCTTTACCTATGCAGATTTGATGTCAACAGCCAAACGATTTTACGATCCCGATACGACGTGGTATTCAGAATTGTTATACGATGTGGCCAGAAAGCAAGTTATTGTCGGTGCCAGGTAAGCTACGATAGAGACATAAATATTTGTTATATTGAATTACCTAAAAATTGACTCACGGACATATGACTTATAATGACTGTTGACCAAATATCAAATCAAACGGAAACTATTAAAGTTGTTAAGATCTGAAACGAACGGGAATACCCTTTAGCTAAATTATCAACTAAAGTAGCAGAGCTTATTGCGCAAATACAAATACTGATAAGGGTTTTCGGTTTTCTTTTGTTTACTTCTTCTTTTTTGGCAAGGTCTGAAAATCTCTTCTGAAAATCGAAAGTGCAACAGACTTACTTAATCTAGTATTTATCGGTGTGTTTTATCGCAATGAGGAAAACGCAGCAAGTAGAACAAGTTGAGTAAACAGAAGACAAAATACTCTATGCGCAACAAGTGGATGCAGATACCCAGATACGTACTTGTAGATACATAGATACAAACGCTCTCAGCTTGTTTGTAAAGCAATTTGATGGTACATTTAGCTGTTTATTTTCGTATACCCTGGTGGAGGGTTTTATAGTTTTGTCATGCAATGTATTACGCATGCAACCAAATGTTTTTTTTTACCTGCTTTTGATGGACATCAACTGCTGAAATATTAGGTGAATGTTCTTCGAATTTCTTCCTCAGCTTTAGTTATATTGGATAAGGTGACAATTGGTCATAGATGATTTTTATGGGAAAATCTCTTGGAAATAAAGTTTCAATTAAGAATTTCCGATTTACAATCTGTTTAATTATATATATATATATACTATATTTTGCCTATTACAGTGATTTAAAAGTCTCCATACAAAGATATTGCTTACGTAGATTTGTCAATTTGAGAGTATATAAAATTCGTCTTTCCAAGGCAGCGCCTTTCTTTCATGTGCTGCTTTATGTGCTTAGCGTGTAGTCAAAGTTTGTTTTTCATTTGCGCTCCGTCTTAAACTCCCAGTCATCTTTATAAGAAAAGAGAGAATCAGAACATACGAACATAAGATAAGAAGTTGCGTTGTCCCTTTGGGATCTTAACCCCTTGCCACAGAGCGAGGGAGATGCAGAGATACGCACTGGCTCGTTTATCAAAATGTCGTCGCTGTTTTCTCACTTTTTCACCTTATTTTGTTTTGTTAGTTTTACCTTGTTGTCAATCATTCGTCTCAGGTTTATTTTGTTTTCTTTCGATTTGTCATTCGTTGCTTTTCTTAACATATTCTCAGAGATAGTTTCTAGGCTCTGAATTATATTGGCCATGTTGTTGCTGTTGCTGTTGTCGTTGTGGTTGATAACGAAGGGCAGTTGCTCTACTTACTAACAGGTAGGCGTAAAGATAGCTAGTTGTATCTGGTATATATAGATAACTGCGTGGGCATATTAAATGTGATTTATTTTATTATAAGGTGTAGGCACCTTTAGATAGTGCGAATAGCAACTTGATGCGACCAAACTAGACTGGACAACTGGTCAAAGTTTTAGTTGAAGAAAAAAAAACCATATAATACCTTTATGAATGGACTTTAGATATTTCCTCACCTTAATTAAAGAGGCATTCCTTAAGTTTTGCTTATTACATTAAATCATAAAAGCAGGGTATTTTTGATATGACATAGATACTTTCCTGTGTTCCACTTTGCCCTACATTCATTTGTAGACCTTTTATTATATCTGAGCAAGTTTTCGTATCTTAAATCCTTTCTTTGTAAATAAGAATCATTTCTTTTTCATTTATAGTTCTTTAAGGTTTTTATAGTGCTACAGACGTATCATAGATACTTACAGATTTGTTGTTCGGTTCTCTATAAGTCTATGTCTTTATTGTTTTTATTTCTCTATAAATATCTATTTTGTTATATATGAAGACTTTTCTTATTACAAATCCGTTTATAATCATTATTTCCCTTTACTTCATAGTTCTCATTATTAACCCTATAGCTAATTATCTTTCTACCCGAAAACTCAGCTTCCTTTGGTCGTAATGGAATCCTTTCAAATTAACTAAAATAAACTGCGTGTCTATAATTTAAACAAATCTTCATTATGCTTGTTTGAACAACCGCCACTTGTTGACCTTCCCAGTGGTGTTTAGTTTAGATACTCTGTTGCACCACCGAGAAACCACAATGTGAACCTTTTTCCTTCTCTATCTTCTAATCACTAACCGCAATTTAATTGTTGCAATATTATTTCTTGGGCTGTGGACTACATTTATGATTTTGTGTTTTCTGTGGTCGGCACATATAAAAGTTGGGTAATTGTAGAGTCAATGGCACGATATGACTAGGGACACAGTCCCTATATATATGAAGCATTGCTCCTTGTCTGACACACACACACACAGGCATGCACACATACACACACTTGACACGACTGTTGGCTCGAATTACGAGCTCAAGCATTTAGTTTGAATGGCCCCCATGACGAGTGACGAGGCGCTGAGGCAACTGCCTCCGTGTTGCACGTCGCACAATTTCGTGTCATGTGCAGTGCAACGGACTACGAAATTTGATATAGACTGCATTAAAATAATATACCATTTTGTTTTCACTTTTTTTCTCCTCTCTTCCTTGCCTTAACAACCTTTTATATAGGTTCGTTTTCGGTTTGCAGTGTTCAGTTTGTTCATTGTTTATGTAGGGGTCTCTGCTGAGCAAATGGACCATGCAAATGTTTTTGCTGTGAAGCATTTGAAATGTTTATACATATGACTGAACATAACCTTATAAGTACCTTCGGCGCACAGGCAGCCAAAATGCAAACACATTTCGCAGTGCTTCCATGGGAAAGCAGTTTTTGGTTTCGTTTTTGCTGTAAGATTGGAGGAAAGTTACATGCCAAAAAGTTGAACATTATTTTAACAGATTATAATACTTAACATGGTATTTCCTTAAACTTATACTTACGACTTATGGACTTACTTAAATGAGTTTAAATATAAAGAAAAAGGTGCTCTTGGTTCGAGTCTATGAAAGTATGGTAAACTTAAGGTAAATAAAATAGGAAACTTAAATAAGGGATACTAAGCTTACGGATGCTAAGTTAAGACTTTTCGACTATCTAAAAAATGTATTGCATACCATCGAAGCTTGTCTTTAGACTTGAAAGGTTGGGATTTAAATATGACATTTTAAGAATCTTGGGGAGTAGCAAACCCTATTCAACTACCTAAAAATCTATATGATCTTTGTACGATTCAGTTATGACCTATTTAAAATATTTCTCACATCTATTCAAACAATTTGAATGCCTAGCACATCAAACCTTAGCGTATACCCATTGCAATTTATTTATGTATTTTTGTTGGCACTTTATTTGGCTAAATTTGGCAATCCGGGCACAAACCTCATTTGACAGCCGCAAATGCTAAGAGGCTGACAGGCAGTTTAGGCAGCTACTGGAATCAGGAATCCGGAATACGAAATCCAACGGCAGCAGCGAAATTGAAATCAAAATTAATCAAAGCTAAAGCATGTTAAGTAAAACATATCAAGGGGGCGTTTTGCATATTTCTATTCAAAATACAAAAAATACAAAAAAAAGAAGCAGACAAAAAATAGTGGAGCAGTTTTCTGAGATTGAGAGCAAGGAATGCGCTCGGCGTAGGCAGTGCCAATGCAGAAATTGAGATTGCAGTTGCAGTTCGCAGCAGTTTTGTTGCAGCTTTTTTCTTTTTACAAGATCTTAACGGAGCAGCGGGCAGCTTTTAATTACAAGTAACCCGCCTGCCCGCCTGCCCGCCAGTCCGCTCGTACGTCCGTCCGTCCGTCCATTGCCTCGAGCTGTCGCCAAACAGGCGCTAGACGAACGCCCACGCTCGTCCACTTGATCAGCGGCGCAGCAATTGCCACAGCCGGACAGACGGCGCCAGAGTCCAAGCCAGGCCTTAATAGCTCCACACACGACTCGCAGCACCGCCTTCATCTGCAGCACCACTTGCACCACTCGGCGGTGCGCAGCTTACAAAAAATTGCCTTTTTGTTATCTTGTCGCGCTTGTCGCTCAAAACTTAGCCACGGCGCAAGGTGTGCGAAAATTGTGGATTGTGAATGCATCCGCAGCCAAGCAGAGATACATTTCCAGCTAAAGATACAGATACAGTCAGAGATACATGTTTAGCAGATACAGATACAACTTGGAGCACGTAACGCACTTGATCGCTTCTGTAAATGGGTCAAACGGGCTGTTGAAATCTGATTATGCAATATGTGAGGATGTATATTTAAAGCAAATGCGTATATAGATAAAAATGTACTTATCTATTTAAAGCAAGTGGGGTTTAGTACTGTAAATAAAGTGTAGTAAGTGTAGGTGTAGTAAAACTAAAAGATAAGAAAGTATAATTAATGAAATCTCATTTCTTGGTAAATTTATATTGTGGTCGCTTGCTTATTGTGTTCTATCGATTCGCACAGTACATAAATATATTAATCATATTGCTTGTTATCAAAGTCGGAAATAATAATATTTTATTTAAGACTTTACGATTCGCAACAAGTTAAAGCTTTGTCTGACTTCTTAATTCGGTCACATAGACAGGCCACTCACTCATACTTAAGAGTTAAGCCTAAACTTTATATTGAATCATTTGTGGAGGTCTCAACTAAAGATAACGTCTTCTTTGCTATTTTTTTCACACCTGCCCGTATTTGCTCGCACGCGCCGTTTTAAGATAGCGCCCGCGAAAAGAACTAAACAAATACAAATTTGAAATAAATGGAGAAAAGAGAGACAACTGACAAAACAATAAGCAAATATTTGCAAAAAGCAAAATGCAATAACAACTAGCGCAATACAACACCAAAACAGAACAAATAACATAACAAAAATACAAATTAAAAGAAAACGAACACGAGATATGCAACAGCAAAAACATGTGTATCGACTTTTCACACCTCAAATGTGGAATTCGCTAGCTTCAAGTGAAGCGAGGCGAAAGATAAAAAAAAGCCGGCGAATGGTAGGCAATGGCGGGAGGGCGAGCGGGGGGCCTCTGTTGAACGCAATGCTAATTTGCAAGGCCGTTGCTTATCGCTGCTGCGCTGCCGCAGTCGACTGCCAAAGAAATGCTACACTAAAGTCTACAAACACGAAACTCTACAAATCATTAACTTAGTTTATGCTAATTTTGGCCATTAAAATGGAAATACATACATATGTCTAAATTTAGTTCATTTCTTCAAATTACCGATTTTTAGTAGATTTTGTAACTGATTTTTAGCTTGTGCAAAATGAGGCCTTTGGTATTTTAATTTTCAATTTTTAGCACACTTGTTTTGAAGTGTAATAGCACACGTTTTGGCGGCACTCGCACAGCTAAAACAACAAAACTTAACAACTGTACACAAGCAACAATAATTAAATTTCGCTTCCGTTAGGTCTGCCAGCAATTTACACGCCCTTTTTTTGTCATGCCATTTTTTTTTTGCTACGCGACATTTGTCACGATATTTTTTCATGCGTATAACAAGCTAAGGCGTGTGACTGCTTGAATGAAATAATAAAAAGCTCAGGTGTATTTTCGTCTTATATGATTCTGGTTTATTGACACACTTGTTGACGTCGTCAACCTCCGTTCCCGTTACCAACTGTTAAGGCTTATCACATAACCTTGCCCAACAAACACGGCTATTCACAGTTACTCATAAAAGGCATCGACTGTTTGACAGGAGAGTCTGTCCATTGATATTGCTCTCTATGCTCTTTACAGTTACTCATAAAAGACAAGCGTCTGCGTTGGCATAAAATATGACAAAAAAGTTTGTCCATATTTA